AATTCTGGGAAACGAAATAATTGGCCCTATTTTTATTGAATAAAATTTAACTGGTCAATTGTATTTGAACTTATTGGAAAATGTAATCGATCCACTCATAACATAGTCCTTAAAATGCCCAGTTGATGAAGAAGACAACCCGCTCTTGGATGAACAAAATTTACATACTCAACAGGACGGCGCACCGCCACACTACGCATCGCATGTCCGACAGTGGCTCGATCAACGGTATCCTGACAAATGGATTGGCAGAAGAGGCGCTCTGGAATGGCGGGCGAGATCTCCGGATTTAACGCCATTGGATTTCTTTCTCTGTGGTTATTTGAAGACAATGGTATACAAAACTCCCCCGCAGGACATTCAGGATCTAAGACACAGGATTACTGACACATGCAGACAAATTAATAACGAAACATTTACATTCCGACAGGAATTCGAGAATAGATTGTATTTTTGCTTAGCTACCAATGGTGAACATTTTGAACACCTAATAAAGTAGGGTACATTCATTTAATTGCAATAGCTATTGTTTTATTTTTCATTATAATTAATTTTCTTTTTGCCCTATTTTACGAGAACGGATCAACCAATTTCAGTTTTCTGAACTTTTTCTTGTGGGGCTCCCTCAAGTCGCAGGTGTATAAGACACAAACCACAGCGGTCCTCAAAGTCAACATAACTTATGCTATCGGTCATATTCAACCTGATTTATGCGCCATAGTCATAGAAAATTGGACGTTTCGGATGCACTCCACTCAGAGAAGCCGTGGCTGATATTTGAAAGATGTTATAGGACTTTCAAATTGATTAATTTGTTCTACTTAAATTTGAAGATAGGAAGCACTCAATAAAAGACCCTATATATCATATTAATTGTCGCAACTACCCTACGAGATAAAACAATAATTTTTTGTGTCCACGAACCAACCTTACGAGGTCTCCTATTTCATAGGAAGTTCCTAGACTACATTGCATTAAAAATTGTGATTTCTTTAATCACTTAAAACGTTTCTGAGGATTTAAAAGCTGAATATGAAACAATCTCATTACTTTCATACATTTCTTGCTATGATGTTTAAAAAAGTGAATAATGTCAACTTATGGTTTCATGAGCTGTAAAAAGCAGCCAATCAGTTCCAAGTGAATGTGAACGAAAACGTTTCTTATTGAACTTTCAAACCTTTTAAATTCAATGAGAAATAAACCTATTTCAAATCATATTAAACACCTAGATATGAAAGCCTCTTTAGACTGAACTTCTCGCAGCATTTGAAGACAATTTTCAATGTTATTCTCCGGATAATCGACTCCGCTTAAAAGAGGGAGGTGCGTGAAGAAGCAACTGGGAAAATAAAAATTTTAGGGTCAGAGTAGTCAGTTAGAATAGTGAAACTGCCAATTGTTCATAGATTGAAATCACTTCGGCAAAACTCATTTTTTGTTTTTCCTTTCTCTACAACAATTCTTCTGATTTCAGGGTTTGGAATGGAAGCTACATTTTTCCTGATTATGGCGTATTCCCACACATTAACCCAAGGAATGACCGCTCTGTCAATTGGTGTAGCATTCAGTGGTTTCGCCATTTCCGGTTTCAATGTTAACCATCTAGACATCGCTCCCCGGTATGCAAGTATTCTGATGGGAATGTCCAACGGGATAGGAACGATAGCTGGGGCCATTTGTCCGTATGTGGTTCATCTAGTTGTTAAGGATAAAGTAAGTTGTAACTGAGCATTCATTTTCATTCACGAGTAATGAGTAAAAATATCAACGCAGTGGAAGTGTGAATAGAATGTATAAAAAGATACTCTACACTCTGAATACAGAAGAGTTATTTTTCCCAATTTGTGATACTCACCGTGTCTTTTCATAAATCAAGTATNACCAAATAGTCTTAATTATTTCACGTTCAACCTATAGTGAATAGGTATTTCCAGCCACAGATATTAGTACGGGTGCTAATAATTTTGTATCCCAACCACAGATTTTTATTTTCCTCTACGTCGGCATGTGTGGCCAGAAATTTGTGGATAACTTCACGCCAATAAAAATTTTAGGGTCAGAGTAATCAGTTAGAATAGTGAAACTGCCAATTGTTCATAGATTGAAATCACTTCGGCAAAACTCATTTTTTGTTTTTTCTTTCTCTACAACAATTCTTCTAATTTCAGGGTTTGGAATGGAAGCTACATTTTTCCTGATTATGGCGTATTCCCACACATTAACCCAAGGAATGACCGCTCTGTCAATTGGTGTAGCATTCAGTGGTTTCGCCATTTCCGGTTTCAATGTTAACCATCTAGACATCGCTCCCCGGTATGCAAGTATTCTGATGGGAATGTCCAACGGGATAGGAACGATAGCTGGGGCCATTTGTCCGTATGTGGTTCATCTAGTTGTTAAGGATAAAGTAAGTTGTAACTGAGCATTCATTTTCATTCACGAGTAATGAGTAAAAATATCAACGCAGTGGAAGTGTGAATAGAATGTATGAAAAGATACTCTACACTCTGAATACAGAAGAGTTATTTTTCCCAATTTGTGATACTCACCGTGTCTTTTCATAAATCAAGTATTCAACTAACACTTCTGGAAGTGCTAGTTGAATACTTAATACTTGCAGAAGAATATTATTTTCAATAAATTCCCCAAATATAATGTACGTAAAAGTTTGTTATGTAAGAAATTTGATACCTTAATTGAACTTAACTCTCACTTATTCGAATGATTCGCATTATCAAACAATAAAAAGCCCGGAGTAGCTAATGCCACTTTGTAGTATAGTTCAACCACAATGGCCGGCCAGATTGCAAACATAATAAGGTTTTTATCAAAAATAAATAATTAATAGAGATACGTTTGTACTGAATCGTATCAGAATAAAAGATAAAACTGAAATATTTGGCGTTAAATAAATTCAAAACAATCCAATCATATTTCCCAAACACCAGAACTACAATACTATTCTTGATGCGCTTTTCATCACCAATGCGTCAATTCACTCCTCTCTCATGGTCGCGGCCATACAGAGCAGGCGACCCGAATTCCTGATGACTTCACAGGCTCCATTTAGTACCACTTTGTTATGTAAGACACTCGAAACTCAAAAGTCCACAGCCTCCGTGTTTTCGGAAAAAGTATAACTGTGGAACAGACGATTCGAGATGCAAACTCTCATAAGGATGCATCATTTTCCAGGTCTTCACTTCGAGTTAATACAGCTCCTTTTGTGTCATTTCACTACTCCAAAGAAGTAGAGTAAGATCGATCCACTCAGGAAGCATCATGGCTATGCGCAGTCCGTCACCCATGTAACAGTTTCGAATTGGAAGTAACTTTGAAATGTTTCTCTTCATCAGAAGTGGTTTTTCTTTCTGGCGAAAAGAAACATCAGAACCTCAAAATTGTTATGTCATGTGGTTTAAAAAACATTGAACGGCACGTTAACAATTTTTTGCAAATTAACCATCCCAATGACCACAATATTAACTGGTTTAAATTTATAAATATATGTGATGAGCATATTCGCGAAATCGAGGCAGCCTAACTCAGATTGCAAACAAGCCAACAGGGATCCCTAACGAGATGACTGCTAAACATCTAGATCTATACTTAACAGCATCATGAACTTTACACACTCGTCATGAAGAAATAAATGCATAGATTATTTTTTCAATGCAGCGACTTCTCACGACAAACCATCGTTCAAGAAAACTTGAAAGCAAAGTATCACCCCTAAAAATCTCGGCGACAAAAATCGTTTCAGGTTTGTTGAGTAAACGTCACAATAAATGTGAATTGAGAGTAAATTGAAGTGAAGAACTGCATAACTAGATAATTGAGAATGAACTGCTTGCCAGTCCTCAACGTTTATTGGTGAAAATTTTGAAATTCGACACTCCACCACTAATACACGAAAATGGTTCAATAGCGACAACGATATAAAAGCAAGTTTACTTGTTGAATAATCTGCCTCTATTCCACAGTTGACTTTCAGGGACAAACATCACCGATTCTTCCTACTGTACAATCCCTAATGCCAGATGTTACTTTTCGACAGCTTATTATTAGACAACTCATCTCAACATCAATGTTTATGATAAAGTTCCTATCAATGAACGTGCAAAAAATAGTTTTCGTTCTTGTTAAAAGACTGCTCGAGTTAAACTTATACTTACAAAAGGCAATAAACATTTTTAAATGACTACAGACCACTTGCACATTCCATGTTATATCTCGTAAATCTCATAAACCACCCAACTTTGCAACAATGCTATCAAAAAACACGGATAGTATCGTACTTCTAACTAACTGAACTTCGATATCATTACTTGTCTTTTCACGTAGCTCTGCACTCCACAGTTTTCTCAACCAACATTTCTTACAAGTAGCCGTCAGTGGCTCTCTCTGTCGGATACCTTCACCATCATGGCCGGGATTTCACATGGATCCATATTGTTTTCAAACCTTTGTCAACCATACATTTCCAATATTTCGCTCTATTAACGACAACGCATTACTCTGCTTCCATTCAGTAACCCATACATAAACTGCTAATTCACATCTTCAGCGACAACAAAAAGTTTTATATCTTGCTCACAGATATGGAACCCAACTCCTGAACATAACCTAAGATTGCAATATTCTATTCAAAGAAGAGTCATCTGTCTAATTGGAGAAACAAATATCACACTTGATAGCCTGGAGCATCAAAGAAAGGGTACGGATATGTATATTTCTATATTTATGGGAAATGTTTGGATTAAAACTTTCAAAATCTCCTTTCCCTTACTAGAACAAAAATGCTGTCTCTCGTGACGCGTTTCGATAATCATCAGGAGATGATTATCTAAGGATTTCTAACTTCAATATTCAAGAGATAATTAGAATTGTCATCATCTGAAACGTGTATCGAGAGAGAGTGAGGAAACAGTGTTTTCGATAAAAAATACAGTTACTCATCGCTTCGACGGTGAATCTCGAATTGTATAAGGTTGTTTCAAGAGTTTTGTCTGTTGAAATTTCATGTGTTTTTGTGGGTCGGTCGGTAGCCAGGCGGTTCGACGTGGGTGCTTTGTTCACTCACTCTAATTGAGTGCCGTATTCGTCGGTGGTTCAGGCCCCAGTCTGAACGATCGATTTTCACATGTTATCCTCCAACCCGTGTTAGGAATCACACATTAAAAGGTTAATCCTTAGCTCGCACAAGTTTCAACTTCTGAGGGTTGTCGTTCGTAGGGGTGCGATAGCTGGTTAACGAAAAAACAGATTTTAAACACACAGATTTAAACAGAAGCTCCATATCTCAATAAATATTCATTCTAATGGGTCGTGATATATATTGATCGATAGAGAGTTGTGTACTCTATAAATTGATGTTTTCCAAATTTTAATTTTTTACTCTTTTCGGCTTATTATTTACTATATGATGTCATTGAGCAATTTACTGTTGAAATTTCATGTGTTTTTGTGGGTCGGTCGGTAGCCAGGCGGTTCGACGTGGGTGCTTTGTTCACTCACTCTAATTGAGTGCCGTATTCGCCGGTGGTTCAGGCCCCAGTCTGAACGATCGATTTTCACATGCTATCCTCCAACCCGTGTTAGGAATCACACATTAAAAGGTTAATCCTTAGCTCGCCAAGTTTCAACTTCTGAGGGTTGTCGTTCGTAGGGGTGCGATAGTTGGTTAACGAAAAAACAGATTTTAAACACACAGATTTGAAATGAAGCTCCATATCTCAATAAATATTCATTCTAATGGGTCGTGATATATATTGATCGATAGAGAGTTGTGTACTCTATAAATTGATGTTTTCCAAATTTTAATTTTTTACTCTTTTCGGCTTATTATTTACTATATGATGTCATTGAGCAATTTTGGATCAATTTTTCTCTACGAATTCAAATTGAACCAAAGCGCTGCCGAAACAGACCGAAAAATCAACCAGGTATTTGGCAGTGATAATATTAATGAACGCCCTCTTCGACGTTGGTTTGCAAAATTTCGTCTCAGAGATTTCAGCCTCCAAGATAAGCCCCAGTAATTCAGGATGAGGATTTGAGGACCTTGGTGGAGACAGACCCATCACAAACGGTTCGTGAGATGGCGAAAGAACTGAGCGTTAGCTCCCATGCGGGTTTTGATGGTTTGAACCGTATTGGAACGATCAAAAAGCTCGAAAAATGTGTGCCCCACGTTTTAAATGATCGACGGAAATTGTCACGTTTCAGAGGAGACGTTCAGTATATTGGTTTGACACCGATTAGTTATAAAGGCACTTCACAAAGGCGAAAACTTACCAAAAAAGACCATGATTACTGTATGATGGTCAGCGACTAATGTGATTCACTATAACTTTCTGCAACTGGACCAAACCATGACATCAGAGTCCTTTTGTGAGGAAATCGACGAAATGTACCGAAAATTGCATCAGCAGCGGCCGGCACTGGTCAACAGGAAAAGTGTGATCGTGCACCCACCCACCATACCCCTCCAGACCTCTTTTCAAGTACTTCGATTATTTTCTCACTGATAGAACCTTCGCCAAACAGGACCAGCCAGAAACGGCCTTCGTCGGCTTCATCGAATCCCAATTACACAATTTTCATGCTGACAAAATTAATCGACTTTTATGTATTTGATTATTGATTTATTTAGTTATTCATTTATACACTGTTCTACAGGTTACACCCAACTACAGAACAGGGATATAAGTCAAATTACAATACAATTACAATAAGTTATAAGATAAAAACAATACATATAGAATTAGCTGAAGTAAAATGACCTAATCTCAGAGATGGAAGAGTAAAAAATGTCGAGCTGACAACTTGCCAAATTGCATTTGACACACATGTTATGCAAAGGTGAACGTTTCAGAATATTTGTACGTGGTATTGTCAGANATCCCATTTCAACGGTATCGTGGTTACAAGCAATATTGCAGTCCGACTAGCTTTCAGAATTCACATTCCCAACTTTTTTCGCACGAATGCACTCAACGCATTTCACAAAAATGAACTCTGTATGCATGTCATCTCGCCCTCCCGGAAAACGATAGCATTGTTCTGTAGGCGGTTTAGAGGCGACCGACCGAAACAAATACAGAAACAATGACGTTCGAAATAATTTCATAAATCTAATTTCATACTGATAAAATTCTATAGGAGAAAGTTTTCCTTTGAGAATCGGCAACCGAGAAAACTTAATTTCTCAATCACGAATTTTATAATACTCCCACTTAAAAATAGATACCTAAATTGGATTATTTCTTTTGTTTAGAGGGGTCGAGGTTTCGTGGGTTATCAGTGTATTTCAACCATATAAACAACCTGGACAAAATTAATATTTTAAGACTGATTGAGACTGATTGTGCTAATGACAAGTCCTGCCGGGAAAGTTACTGCGAACTTTCGTTAAATCATTTTCAGATTTGAAAAATCAATTACTTTCTACATTTTAGTAGGACCTCTAAACACCCTTCTCGTGAATACCTGAAGAAGAGTCTGACAACAGAATCAAGATCAACGTGTAAACAAACGAAAATTGCCATAAAAAAACCGCATCAAAAAGCAACAATCCATAGTAATATCATAAATGTGAAAATTTGAGAGGATGGATAAATGTATGTTTGTGGCTCTTTCACGCCTAAACGACGGAACGAACTTAGATGAAATTTTACGTAAATACAGCTTATACATCAGAAAAACATACAGGCTACAATTTACAAAGGTTTTGTGTAATTTTGGTCACAGTGTAACGATAAGTATTAGGTAAGTAGCTCCATGAGAGCTATATTGCTGTGCGCTGCCTATACCACTGGAGTTACATGCAGATAATATGCCGTGAGATTGTTTATCTTAAATAGTTTCAAATACAAGTCCGCGATAGCATATATCTACCTCTTATGTGGTAGTCACTATATGCAAAATATTGAGCCTTAAATACAATTAAATTGAATACATTTTTTACAATGCACATTGTAGAATATCTGTCAAATTCTTATAAAAATTGGTACAATGGTTGTTTCAAGTATGTATCAAAAACAGCTGAAATTTGTTTTTTATACTCAGTAATTTGAACGAATCGTTTAAAAGTTATAACGATAAGATAAACTTGACGCAACGCAGTAAGCCATTACGCGTCGCGTCTACTGTAAAACGACGAGGACGATGAGCGGGGGTAGAGATGCGGTCTAAGCAATGAAGCGCCATCGCCGAGAACGCGACCCGAATGCGGGCAGACGCGTGAGGGCAGACGTCGTTGACGGTTGTATTAGTTTCGCGAAATTTCTTTGTAGGTAACATAATTCCACCCTCGAAGCTATTCATTGCTTAGTGCAGTTGGCATATTTTTTAGTCACTGTATTTTTGAAGTAAAAATATGAATTACTAGTTGTTGCCCGCGGCTTCAACCGCGTAGAATTTCATTTGTCACATTAAGTTTCGTGATAGACCATTTTAAATGAATAGTCACAATATTGAATACTATTAGCAAAAAGAAACTGAAAAAATTAGAATCAAATACACTGGAAATCCAACTTCTACTAATATTATAAATGCGTAAAGTTTGTGAGGATGGATGAATGGATAAACCTGACCTGGAATAACACATAGGGTAGGTTCCCACGGTGACGCGGGTAAAACAGCGGGTAGCAGCTAGTATTGTATAAATGGGTACCTATTGATTGACTGACAATTTCAAATTAACGTACAGTCGAAGCTACTGAACCTAGAATCTTGAAATATGCAGGTAGGTTCTTTGTATAGCGTAAATAAGCCTCAAGACAGAGAATCAGGAATTTCCACCACCAAGGGGGAAAAATAGGGGTTCAGATATTGTATTGAATTTCGTCAGTTTCGAAATTGGAAACCTGCAGTTTTTGGGTTAATAATAAAATATTGTAACTATTTGTTTAGAATGGTCTGTTACGAAACTAAATGTGACAAACCGAATATCTTCAGAACTCAAACAAATGAGTAGGAATATGAAAAAGGTCAATAAATATAAATGAAAGTCACTACGAAACATTGTTTCGTGGTATTATTATTGTCAACACTTCCAAACAAACGTTGAAATTCCTATACTTCTTCAGATGGTCGGTTTTCAAAACCCAAAATTCATATTGTGGAAAGATATATACCCGTAAAACCGTATAAGAAACACATAAACCTTTCTGTAAATTAATGGATGATGTTTTTTTTTTATGAAACAATCCCAATTCTACGGGAAATAAAGATTGATAACGAACTGAAAGGTAGCCATATTACTCAATTATGCAATCATTCAGAATCTTATGCCGTTCAGGTTGTCTCTAATGATTTGAATCGCCAAAAATGTATATCAGGCACTTGTTGAATCATTCTGACACATCATTTTGAAGTTCCTGGTGAATACTTCACAACCCTAGAATATGAAGTCAACATCTTCACCTACTACAAAATGACGGAACATTTAATAATTTCCTGAAGACAAACACATTAATATCGATATTTTTAGAAATATTCCTATTTATCTGCCATAATATGGTACTTCCAACAACCCGATAAGGTTTTTAAAGTTTTTTTTTGTTCATAAAAACGACAAAAAATGTCAGTACGACAATGAAAATCATTGTTCAGTTAGAATATTCTCATTTAGTTTTTGGAAGAAAAAATTGAAGCGATTTTTATTTACGGTGCGACGCGTAACTTTCCCGAGATCGAAAGGATTTTCAATGTACGTTTTCCGAATCCTTCTATCTGTAGAAAATATTTGAGGGAACTTGTATCTAAATTCACAACTACCGGTAGTGTACATAACAAAAAGCCCCCAGGTCATCCGTCCATTCCAAAAGAACATCAAGTGTAAATAATTGGTGAGATGGTAGTAAATCCTGAACAGTCTACTTATTACGTCGGTAATGTTTGTGAGGTGTCTCCTTCTACTGTGTGGAGACTTTTAAAGGAAAATGCTACACCAATTAACTGAAGATGACCCTGATCGAAGAACAGAATTCTGCGAAATCATGACGGAAATCATTGCAAGGCATCCTATCTATCTCCACAATATTTGTTTCAGTGACGAATGCACATTTTTTTTAAACGGCCATGTTCGCAGACAAAATTGCCGTTATTGGAGTGACACCAACCCTCACGTATTCCGGGAAACACATACCCAATATCCAGAAAAAATTAACATTTGAGCAGGAATATTGGGAAACCATATTGTAGGACCTCTATCAATTGATCAAAACTCAACAGGGGAACTGTATTTGAATATGCTGGAAACTACTGTTGATCTTCCCATCACTGAAATCGTCGAAGCGAATCCTAATGAATTCCATATGGATTCTAACAAGATGGAGTACTATTACATTACTCCAGACAAGTAAGAAACTATTTGGATACTACTTTTTCCGGTCGTTGGATTGGCCGTCGAGGTCCTACAGAATAGCCAGCCCGCTCGCCAGATCTGACACCTTTGGCCTTTTTTTATGGGGCTATTTGAAGCAAAGGGTGTACGAAACTGAACCTACTTACAATATTGGATATACGGCAGAGAATAATAAATATTTGGAGAGATATTGACGTTACTGAGTTCAAAAATGTTCGGCGTGAAATATCGAATAGGCTGTTCATATGTCAAGAAGTTCAAGGCAACCATTTCTAACATCTTCTGAACTGACCTCTAGCTTATTACCTCATATTATAGTCACAAGCTTCCGAATAGCTCCCTCCCTCAGTAGGCCGACGAAACTGCCCATAAATTGGAAGAAGTGCACTATGCACTTTCTTCACCGAGCATAAATTTTGATTCATAAAATTCAATAGTTTGCAAGCGTTGTTCATTCGTAAGTCGATTCATGGTTAAATTATAGACCAAACTGAACAAGTTTGACAATGACACGATTCACGCGTGATCTGTCAAAAACAGTGTTGCCAAAAAGATACCAGCGAAAAAATCATGCATTTTATAGTAGTTGAAGATATTGACATTATATTCTAGGGTTGTCAAGCATTTGTCAGGTGCTTCAAAAAGATGTGTCACAAGACCACCTTTCCATTTAATTTTTTTTTTCAGATAGCGCCCAATCGCCGTCTTGAAAGTTCCACCTGTATATATTAATTAGACCTAAAATCTCTTTTTTTTTTTCAGACGAAAGAAGAATGGAGAATAGTGTTCATAATATCTGCCTTGATACATTATTCGGGTATAATTTTCTATGGTATTTTTGCTTCTGGTGAACTTCAACCATGGGCAGATCCAACAGTAGAGGAAGAGAAGCACTGGAACCAAATGAACGAGGGTATACCAGTAAAAAAGTCACCTGTGAGTACCTATAAGTTCCTAGCTTTAAAAATAGCAAACATTGCAAACATTAAGTTAGGTTGTGATTGAATTGTTTTTTAAAGAACCTATGGTATATCCTTCATTCGATCATACATTGGATATAATCACATGTCTATCTCAGCTTTCATCATTTATGTAAGACGAGCCTAAAGGATTTTGCGTCGTACGGGTTCAATTGCTGTTTTTGTGTGAATATTATCTCCAGTCACATCAAAGGATGGTGCACCTTCCATTCCTACCATTCCGTTAACAAGTTGTTGCCAGTACTGAGTCTCGATAATGAAAACGAAAGATATAATTCTAAGAAATAGTTGAAGACTGTGCCGAGTCGCGAAGCATCCCTGAATTACTTCATATAGACTCTCTACTGCTGATATTACGACCATCATCGTTTGGCAAATTATCAGATTGATCTACTAGTACAGATTGCATTTTCCTCACATTCACACCAAAATTTCTGACCCAAATTTATAGCTTTTCTTCTAGTAATTGGTGATAAAACTGATCAAAGGTTTTCGAAATCAAGCGACAGTCCTTTTGATAAGGGTTATTGAAAGTATTAGAAAGAAAAATAAAATATACATTTAAGATAAGGCATACATTAATTTTCAATTAAAAATTCGGAAAGCGAATAAAAACATTTGTCCAATGAAAAATGTTTCAAGTCTTTTTGAAATGTCTCATATTTTTATGCTGTTTTATGATATCTGGGAGTTTGTTAAAAATTCGTGGCCCTTTGTAATTGGGAGCAAAATATGCAGTATTCACTTTCGCAAATGGAATATACATAGAGTGTTCATCTCTAGTATTACATCCATAAATATCTTCATTCAATTCGAAAAACCACCTATTTTCAAAAATATAACAGCTATATCAAAAATGTATATACATGGAAAAGGTAAAATTCCGTGCATTTCCAAAATGGGTTAACATGAGTCCCCAAATTGACTAATGAAAACATCCGATGCTGAGGTGGAATTTCCCCAGAGACCTATACCATACCTAAGCCTTGAATCAATTTGGGTGTAGTAAATTACCAGTAACAGTGCCTTATTGAGAAATTTTCGAAGCATCAAAAGAAGAAAATTCAGGGAATTCAATTTGCCCATTAGGTCATTGCAGTGGGTTTTCCAACTCATAGATTCATCTGAATATACCCCAATAAATCTAACAGATTATTGAGTGTTTGTCTGATTTTCTCTAAAATTTAGATTTTGTATTGACTTCTGACGATTGTGGAAACGTATTACCTCTGTTTTTTCCGTATTAAAAAATAAAGAACGTTCATTAGAAAAATTTGATATATTATTCATCACATCACTACATTTAGTAAATTAGTGTCAGGTGAAGACAACACCAATGATGAATTATCAGCATAGGCAGAGTGATGACAATTTTCAAAATACAATCAATCTGATTAATGAACAAAATGAACAACACGAGTCCTACGACAGAACCTTGTGGGAAACCCATATCAACATCCAGACATTCAGATTTCCTATTATATTTTGTATTATTGGAGTTTATTGGAATAGATACATATTGTTTCTCATCCGCTAGAAAAGATTCAACCCATTTCAATGGGAGACCCATATAGTTCTAACAATTCAGATAGTTTTCCGTGGTTTACACAGTCAAACGCTCGGCTTGAATTCCAGAACATTGCTGCTGGACATTCATCAGCAGCAATATGTTCGATTATTTGGTTGAAAAAAGATAATGTAACAGTTGATATTGATTTTCCGGCCTGGAATCCATGTTGTTTATCCGATAATATCTTATGCTTTTCATTTAAACTCCAAAGACGATCGAGAAAGGCATATTCAAATAACTTTGAAAATACAAATGGAATTGTTATCGGTCTGTAATTTTCCAATAATTTAGAATAATTTTTCTTGTGAATCGGTATGACTTTTCCAATTTTAATAACATTTGGAAATAAACCTGTTTGAAAAGATAAATTCACCAAATGAGTTAGAGGAGAAATAATATCCTCGAGGACATCCCTCAAAATAAATCCTGGGATCTCATCTGATCCGGCGGAATTTTTATTCTTTATTCTTCTTTTTAAAAGTGAAAGAAGTTCTTTCTCTGAGAACGGTTGCAAGAACATGCTCACCTTATTGAAATCGTTGTTACGCTTGAGGTGACTGATTTTAGGAATATTGTTCAATAGATTAATAGGAGTTTTGATGAAAAATTGGTTGAAGAGAGAAGCTTTTTCAGATGCATCTTCTGTCAATTCTTCGTTATTATTGATTACTATATTTTGGTCAGTTTTCTTATACTTGTTCGATAATTCTGATAGAATTGTCCAAGATGTAAGCATAGTATTTGATGAGTTGAATATACGATTTTGATAGTAGCTTTTCCTTTTGTCAATTAGTACAGATGAATGTTAACATTTAGCATCATTGTATTTATCTGCTGAATCAGGATATGTTTTTTTTAGTTTGAAAAGTTTCTTCATGTTTGAACTAGAATGAATGACAGATGCATTAACCCATTTTTTACATTTATTTTTATGATAATAAGTGCGATTGGGAAAACATAAATCAAAATGATATAAAAACAATCGATAAAAATGAAGATCTTCAATATCAGATCTTCAATATTTTGAAAAGTGGTCCAATCCTCTCTTTTTACTGCATTATGAAAGTAGTGTCTACTGTTCTCATCAAAACTTCCCTAAACCTCAGCTATTGTAGGAACTTTCATTTTAGTGAATGGATCTATTTCAAGAAACACGGGTCTACGATCGGATATTTCATGTCAAGATTGGAATCTTTGCATATGATAAAATTCAGATTAGGTTTATATACAGTGTGTGCGATTTTAAACCACAACACCTTATTATTTAGGAACCCATGAACCGATTTTGGAAAATGATAATTTCAAATTATGGTACTCAACGAACTCTATCCAAATATGTTGATAAATATCAATTATTCTCATTTTCAAGACTTACAATGACCTGAAAATTGGGCCGAAATTTCGAGAAGGACCATTAGGCATTTTTTTATCGGAAAACTGGATACCCCCATTCGATTTGGGAATATTTCGAACATATAGTTTCCAAGTTTCAGCCCAATATCTCATACAGGGTGTTAGTTATTTGATGACAAATTTCCAAATCCTTGTTTTTTGGCTGACCCTGTATAAAAGTCTATGAACTTTACAGAAAAGATGAAGTAACCATTCAATGAAATAATACCTCGCATACTCAGCTACGAAGTTACATAGGAATCAAAGGTTAAAAACGTGTATTTAATTTTAGAAAAATTACCAACAACAGAAATGAATTAAATGATAAATGGAACAGTTTTTTCAGATATTGGAGTTTTCAATGTATCCTCCTTCAAGCTCTATACATTTTTCATAACGTCGTCTCCAATTCTGGCGTTTTTTCCTCAACAGAAAAAAATCTAAGGGTGTGATGATCGAGGGGACCAACAAATAAAAAGGCTGGTTCTTCCAATCCATCTTCCTTCAAATTTTTAATCAAGATATCGTCGCACAGCAATCACATTGTGGATGGAGGCACCGTCTAGCCGAAATATAACATTCATGCGTTCTTCAATGCTTAGTTATTCCATGAAATCCAAGAATTTCATTGTCAAAAAATTATAAAATCCTCCAGTGTTTAGAGTATTTTCAAAAAACACCTGACCTATTATAAGTTTTTTGAATATTTCTACCCAGATATTGATTATTTTTGAATATTGTTTTTTTTGCATTGTGTGGATTTTCCTTTACCCAGTACCTGAAATTCTAAGTGGATACTGTGCCGTTAGTTGAAAATGTCGCCTCATCGGGGAAGAAAATATTGCCCAGAAAGTTATTATTATTCAAATATTCACCTTGGCAGAATTAACAGAATTTGAATCTTTCTAACGTGTGCATGATTTTCAGTTTGAAGCAAATCCTTTTTTTTTTCAAACATGTACGTATTTTAGAAATACTAACATGTAAATCTCGTGTTATCTTGAACATACTCTAAAATTTGTCCGTCTATCTCTATATTCCCTCTTTGTCTCGGTACATGTGTTTCATTTACTCTCCCTGTTCTATTGAATAACGTATTGATCCTGGAGACGATTGTATGGTGAATTGGTTCACGATCTGGATGTCTCGTGAATTCTTCCGCGGCCACCCTCGTTGATCGAGCATCTCATTCCCAATTCTCTCGACTAAGTTGAGATTTACCATTTTGAAAACTCGAAAAACCCTTGTATAAGTCTCTTCACCAAATACGCGTGGGAAGAGTTTGAGGATACCTAAGTACAAAAAATCATAAATTTAGGAATTTGTCATCATATAACTAACGCACTGTATGAAATATTGGGCTGAAACTTGATATATAGGGGTAAAAAAATGCCTAATAGTCCTTCTCGAAATTTCGACCCATTGAGCAGGAAATGGTAGGTAGGCCTTGGAAATAAGAAATATCCATATCTATCAACATCTTTGAATAGAGCTCGTTAAGTGGTATGTTTTAAAAGTTTTATTTTTCAAAATCGGTTCATGGATTCCAAAATAACAGGGTGTTGCGGTTTGAAATCGCACACACTGTAGATGATACAATACACCATAAATATTTTTGAGAAATAATTGAACGCCTCCACAGGGAGATCTGTAACAATTCAAAATGATGTTGCCCATATGCCAACACCCCCACATTTTTTGTCGGTCTACAGTGGAAATAAATCAAATCATTGTTAGTAGAATGTAATGAGATTTCTTTTAGTCCAGTTTCAACTAGGCATAAAAATTTCAATGATTCCAAATCACTTACATCACTCTAAAGACAGTGTTGATTTCATCAGTTGTCAAGGTGCCAACGTTCAACATAAGTAAGCCAGGTTTAAATATTATGGAATTGGGTGGTTCTCTCTGCGTTTCACTGAAAAACGTTTAACACATGCACCGTAAGGCCATTCCTCCGAGCCCATCGCTATCTTGAAATTACTCTCGTAAATAGTTAGTTCAAATGATGAATAAATAGACAAAAATTTTAAGTTCAACGCTTCACAATGTACCTCCTGGAAACTTCCAAGTGACTGTTGTTTGGTGATCCAATCTGTACACCTGCACTCCTTTCACAGATCCAGTTTCTTCATTATTTCCAATGATAAATGACCTCCATCCTCCTTATTGATATAATCATTAATTAGTTGTCCTGTTTCAACCTGGGCTACTGCCCGTGATAAGTTATTTAAACACATTTTTTGTTTTGTTTTGGGATTCCGATTTTGTTCGTGATTACCATATGTGAGTCAGAGATATTTTGTTCACTATTCAGACTTTTCTTTGCTTGCACTTTTTCATGACCAATATGTTTTGTAGGCTTAACTTTTTATTGAGAACTGTCTGATTCGGCGATAAAGATATTTTTGTTGTGCATTTGATTCAACAATTCTATTCGTTTATTCAAAATAATGATCTTGCTCGAAGTTCATTATTGATGATGTCTTTTTGCTTCAAAGTATATTTGAAAATAATAATGTCTATCTTTTTGTCGGCATCAACAATGTTGTCCATGATAGGCACTATCACAACTAATATGATAGAAACTCTCATAAATTGTAAATTCATAGCCAGGAACTACTTTGGATCTATACGTTTTACTCAGAGCACCAGCCGACTAGCCACTATCCCCACCGGCCATTTTGAATTGCCGGGGGGAGTAGTAGCATCAGTTTGTAGTGGCAGTAGTTGTATCTAAAACAACGCTTTTCCAGACTCAAACCAGTAGTATACTCCAGAGACAGCCTAGTGGTGCAAAAGCTAACTATGGTTCCGTGGAAACGCCATTGCCACCTCGTCCACCTAGACCTCAATTCCAGTCATCTGTAGATGATCCCACAAGACAAGCGGGACAAACTACAGTAGCAGCCCAGCCAGCGCCACCATTCGAAAAGTGAAACTATTCAAATTACGTTCTACTTGTTTTCTTTGAGTCATGTGTGAGCTCTAAGGGAGCTAGTGAAAGAGGGAAAACAAATATTGGAATTCAAATCACTATTTTCTAACACCAGTATAGAGAGGTTTTGTCAAAGAGAATAAACACAGTCAGAGATACACCATAACTTGGTGTATCTCTGAATAGTTGGAGTCTCGAAGGTCATGACAGTGGAAGGTTATATGTAAAAGTAACTTGTTTGTTATCATCTCAAGTATATTTTTGCTCAGTTTCGAATTATATTTTATCTGGAAGCTCTGAACAGCCACTATCTCTATATATAAGTTTATACTGGAATGATAAATCATTTTGGATAAATGTAAAGTATTTTTCAAAGTTAATATATGTAAGTATAATATAACTCCAAATGAGCTTTCAAACAAGATGGCACTCTCATTATTGCTATTTTATTATTTGAGATTCCAAGATTGGGAAATGAAGTTAAATTGTTGAAGTATTCAAGTGAACAATGGGGAAGTTATCGAAAATGCATTTGTTGGCATTATTGGAATATTATTCAAGTACGTATGTCAGTGGTTGAAAGAAATAGTTTCCTCGTGTGTCTTTTATTCAATATTTAAGTCTGAAATCGAAGTTTAATTATATTGGCAACTTTTTATTGGAAATGTAGTTCTTTTAATTTTTTTATGAAAACCCATTCCTGATTTTTCGTTCTTTATGGAATCAGTGATATAACATCAATTGCCTGATTTTGAATATAACTTTATACTTTATGTGATAATACTCGCTGGGTCATGTTCAAAGTAGTGCCTGCATGCACCTATTAATCTTCGCAAAATATCAAAATGTTTGTCTGAGTTTTTTCGCAAGTACATCTTACTTATAATCGATGTATAACCACTTCTGAGGTAGATGTACCTACGAACAATTTTTCAAAACCAACTTAGATAGTTACTTTTCCATAGTTGTAGCTGGATTCATACAGAATGGCAATTGTTACCTGTAGCACAATTTCAAAATATATTTACATACAAATATTGTCAATTTGTACATAAAGTAATTTATAAGATACAAACTGGACGCAAATAACATGGTAGGAATGAGTCCTTTCATATTAAAATTCAATTAGAAAAAAATCATTTTTTATCCGTTCAGTTTATCCATTTCATAGAAACGCTATAACACGTAATATGTGAAAAACTATTGATGGAAAATTCCACTTACACTACACTATTTTTCCTAATAGTACTTCGGAGTTTCGGAATAAGACACTTATCACGTTATCATTATCATCATTACAAAACGGGTCACTCATTCTTTCATCACATTACGATTTGTCACCGGAAGAGACAACGGTAATCTTGTTACAAATAACAGTATTTAGAAATATCCATACGGTTTGATAATTTAGTCTCATTTAAATTGAAGAGAGGATATTTCTAAGACTAGTTTTTAGAAGGAAAAAAGTTTTTTGGTGACATAATGAAATGAAGAAAAAAAGTTTTTTGGTGACTTAATGAAATAAATCAGTGCTTCATCTTGTAATGTAGATTGACAGTATCAAACAATCACCCCATGTGCTTTAGGGTTAAGCTATATAATGAGCTTAAAGAGGTCATTAAATCCTAAAATATCAATGTATTTAAAAGGCGACTCGAGATTTTTCTATTGCAAAAAGCATACTACTCTGTGGATGAGTTTCTCCTTGGATCCTAATTTGATTGTAGATTATTAACTTTTTTTATGTATCTTTTATGTTTCATATTGACTTTTTTATGTTTGTTTGACCTGTTCAATCAGCCAGTATTTTATGATGTCTAATGTGATTGTGAAGGAGAACTGATTCAATAAATGTTTGATTGATTGATTGATTGTTATCCAAAACATTGTTTATGAGGTCATAAGGCAAGTGTTATCCCGAAACTTCAAAGAACGATGGTCTTTGTTCCATGTAAGTAAAATTTCATATCAATACTGTTTCATATATTACGTAGGTGACATCTTGCTGAATGATAAGTGATTTTCGTATAATTCAATGTTTATATGAAAGTAGTGGTTTGAAAAGTTTTTTTCTTTCAGTTTATATCTGAAAGAAACTGCTATGCATGATCTTTATATTCGTTTGAAGAGTATTTGTTGGTATTATTTTTTTTCTTTTTTACTTTGAAAGTTTACTATATAAAGGGAGAACTGAAAAGCTCCTGGAAATATCTGTTAATTTCCAGGGAAATATTATGAATGCTTTCTGTATATAATGTCATTTGATTCAGAGTGAATATAAAATTGGTTAAACATTTCTGGTTTATGTGCAAATATAACTCAATATATATTGGCGTCTTAGAAACATCTTTCTGACTGAATTTTTCTAACGGATTTTTTAACCGTTATCCATAGTGATCACAAACAGATCGGTTTTCGTATGATTTGCTCCTCATCAATGCAGGGTGGTCTGAAAACTAATAAAATGAAAAATTATATTTCTATGAATTGAATATAACATCAGTTGTAACATTATTCTCATATGAGTATCACCAACAGACTAGTTTTCTGGGCATTTGCTCTCCATCAGAGCATGGCAGGTTGGACAAGCTAGAAAAAAACCTTACGCGCATCATCTCTTTTATTGAACAGAAATCTAAGTGATACAGCAAAAATGTATAGCTGTGCAGTGATAGGAATTCAGTTTCAAATGCCGTATGGGTATGATCTACCCTTAATTATGAAGAATTAAATCTCCAAAATCGATCATCTGATCAAGTTAGGTTCTGTGTGGATTGCATCTGTGAGAAATCTGACATGAATGTTTGTGGGATGTATGGATGATGGTGTTAGGCTGAAGAGTAGTTATTTCTTCTTATATATTTGCAGAATCTTACTACATTAAACACTACTCCTTATAGTATTTCAAATTGCTGCTATTTTCTTCTGTTTTGTTTGTGAGAGTAGGAATTGAGATTAAGATATAACAATTGCCAATAACTGATAACATTTAATGAGATTACCTGATTTAAAAATACTTCGGCGTTGCAATTTCCAATTTTACACGAATTGTGCATTTAGTAGTAGTAGTATGAATATCTTTCAACACATAATTTAACGAAAAAAATATATGTCCTTGAAACTGATGGTATATATAAATTAAAACATCAGAAAATACTATTTGTGGTCTGAAGTCCACGATGATTAAAAACTCATAGTTCATAGTGTCAACTGCATATGAGTGAGCACGGAAAATAAAAATGAAATTCATCACCACTAATATCAAATCATGATATTCAAAATATTCAGAAATGTTTAAAAAAAACCTCCATTTAAGCGAAAATATGTACTCATTTTCATTTGTAAAAATTTTATGTTTACTATGTACATGTGTAATTTATTACGATCATATTTGTCTACTTGAACTTCACGACCTTTCCACGGTATCACATTGACCAATAAAATCACAATATATTTTGCAAAAAGTTATTATTTTTCCAATATTTTTACTGGAATTGTCACCCATACGTCGTAACAGTATTGTGGAAGACGTTCCAATTCAATATGTTGCATGGCAAACAAACTTTTACAAAAAATTCAACTCATAAAAGTGAAAATTTCTGTTCCTAACTCCGAGATGATAAATTTTATGCTGGTTTCACAAATGCCAAATGCCAAATACTCAAAAACCCTACTGAAAAATTCATAAAATGAAACATATGTATTGCTGAAACATAATTTTAGTGGTGATCTGTTAGTCTGTTTGGTTACTTTTTGAGTGTTCTGGTTTTTCACAATCTGAAAATATTAAAAGATGTTAGAAAATATCTACAAGATTTGAGAGGGTATATGTATCTGTATCTGTAGAGTAGGGAGGGTGAGTGTAGGCCCACGGCACTTAGGCCACATGTGACCCATTGTACATCCTCCCGAGGAGTTGTCCTCCTAGGTCATTGTCCATCTTGTCCTTTCCAGGAAGGTGGGTAGGTCACTGGGAGACATCTCTTTTATATCGGCAGGTGTATCCCAACACTCGCCGAACACACACTCTCTTATTGACGGTAACTCCGAACACTCGCATAGGACATGCCTGACAGTTTCAACTTCCTGTACACACATCCTACATAGAGGTGTGTCCACTAGCTCCATATTATGGAGGTGTTTCCTTAACAGTGGCCAGTCAGAAATCCTACTGTTAAGCGTAGATTTTCCTGGTCATCGCCAGATGTGATCCTGGCAAGATTGCATCCTTTGATTCCATTCCATCTCTTCAGGGATTGAGCATGGATGTGACGTTTGCCTGGTTCCGCAATTGTCTAAGTCATCAGGCCGTATGTCATTAGGCCGTAGGTGTCACTGGGTCCTAAAATTCTTAGTCCAGCCGCTTCCTTGGCTAAAGAGTCGGCAATGCGATTAACTTTACTCATGTCGTGCCCTTTAACCCACCTCAGGATAATGTTATTATCTACCGAGGATTTGTGAAAGGGTATAAAGATGACAACAACAATGTAAAGTTTTTATCTTAGCAGAAATAACTTTTTATCCAAACGTCAAGGCAGCTAACAGTAAACAATATATCAATTGAAATAGTTTTAGAACGACTGAGAAAATTTCCTTTCTTGAAGAGGAACATTCGTTGAAAATATAATACATTGTAGTGAAGGAATCATATTAAATGTTGTGAAAGAAGTATATCTACTGTATATTATTATTGAGATGCTTCGCATCATATCTATATTACCATATAAGATGCCATCATAGTTATGTTTCATTAGTCAACCAGAAATAAGTCAGCGTTTGTCATTGTCATGATATAATGATCAAGAGGGCCTGATCATTTTGGATTGACAAGCAGTACCTACATTTTTGCAAACAATATATTTAATGATCTGCTTTGTAACATAATACTGCGATGAACGCTACTGATTCCGGTTGAAAATCCTTCACTTTTTGGAATACGAATGGAGACATTTTTCAAGGAATGAAAAAAATGTAATGTATTATTTTCATAAACTTTATTAC